ATATTTAGGCAGTAAAAAAAGAATTTAACTTGTTTATGTTATCTTGGACTACATTTCATAAATCACAAAAACCCATGTTTACATTTTAGAGATAATCTGTGTCTGTGATAGTAAAGTTAAAATCTACAATTATGACAATCATTGGAAAAGGAAAAAAATTAGTTAGATAGGAAACATGCACAGAAAAAATTTAATTACCTACTAATGTTTTCTCAAAAAATAAGTAAAATATTAATCTTATCAATTAGAAGGATCACGTAGAATATGAGTCTTACTTGAACTACATTTTAGTTTAACAAGATCAAGCTTTAATCAATTTTTGTTAGGGGGTTTACCTTCCGGAAAAGCTCTTAAGGCATTAACTTTCACTAGCCATCTAACAAAGTTACCCTTAATTCATTTAGTAAAATTAGTACTTTCTTCCTCACCATCTTCTTTCATTTAAACTGCTCTGGTCCACTTAAATTTGTTAGTTTGGCTCATGCTGTTTAAATCTAAACTAAATATATTAATTTTTAGCTGCTAAAAATAATATTGGGTTGGTAATTGTATTGGGTTGGTTGGGGGCAGGTAAGGCTCCTTAGCTATAGCAAAAGATAAGGATACTATGAGAATAAAAACTTTGATATAAAACCCCATTTAACTGCAGGTTTTAGATAGTAGTATAGCATTATATATAGCATTAGCTCATATATCAGGCCTTGCGATGAATAAGAACTGCGCGACGCATAAGCACGACGTGATTTTTGACGTCATTAAATTCTTTTTATTTGCTTTTCATATTTATCGACATTAACTGCACCAATTTACTTAATTACCGCAAAACTACTTTAAATCGTTTATGTAGAAATGTTATTATTTAAAAATGATTTGGAATGTTTCGTTTTTTAAAATGTAAAAACATTTGTTTATTTTCTCGACGTTTGTCACGTTTTGTCTATACTAAACAAATAAAAAACATTATAACTTAAATTTAAAAAAGATTATAAAATATGCTAATATTTGATTTTTTTTTTTTAAATATGTAATTTAAAGTTTTTCAAATAATTATTTTTTTCTTTTTAAAAAGTCAGCGAGTAATAAACTGGAAATTTTAATATTGTACGATTAAAAACTGTGCAGTAGCTAATATTTTTACAAGCAAATTTATATAATATTTATTTATTTATTTTTATTTATTTTCAAAAAGCGGTTGATAAGCACAATCACTCGTATTAATAAAAAACTTAAACGAACGTTTTGAATAATTTTTAATGTTAACAAGGAATTTTATTTCTAGTAAAATAAAATAAAATGTTAGAATAAAAATCTTATAGGTATAAAAGAAATATTTCAGCGAAAAAATTATTCTTAAAAATTATTCTTAAAAATTATTCGAAAAACTATTGACGTTCTATTTTTCAGCAGCTGTTCTTGAGCACGCTTCGTTGAGTTTCGTTAACTTTTAACATAAAAGCGATCGTTATTATTTAAGTAATTTTTTTGAGTTACTTTTTACAAAAATTTTAATAACTGTACTTTTTTATTGAATCAAGTAGAATACGTTTTAATATTAATCCTTTTTTATTTTTTTATTTGCCCTCACCAATTTTTAAAATGTTTCCTCGAAATTACTCTTAAATACTTTAAATACGTAACAGTTAATAAATATTTTTAAATCTATGGAATAATTTTAAAACCTAACCTACCCCCGTAAAATAATTATTTAAGTTTAAAATCTAAAACTGAAAGAAAGTATTTTTGTTCAATTTTATCGACAACTTTGCTATTGCTGAATAATTTTAATTAAATGTTAGCTTAAAAGATTTAAACTTTTTTTTTAATTTTTGAATTTTTTCTACTTGTAAATAATGAGCATATTTAATTTTTTTAAATTCAAACTTTTATTTCAACTGCGTGCGGTTTTTAAAATACTTTATTAAAAGTTAAAATAATCGTAAATTACTTCATTAAAATTCCGCTCAAAAATATCTTTAAATATACTCAAACAAAAAATTTTTTGCTCGACGCAAATAGCCCTAGCTACACGCAAAATCGCTCTTGGACGACGTAAAATTCACATCGCCCGACGCTTTATCGCAAGGCCTGATATATATATATATATACGAGTTCATGTTTTTTTTTTAAATGTTATATATATGTTTTTTTTTATAGCTGGTATATTAGGTATGTGCATATATTTATCTTTTTGAGGTTGGCAAAAATTATTTGATACAAAGGTCTGACCATAAAACATAGAAATGAGGTCGGCAGTTAGGTCAGCATTGTCGAATATTGACCCTAATACCAAGGGTTGTATATATATATATATGTTACAATAATAAAAAAGAGGTGAATGGAACGGAATGTAGAGCCAGATATTGTTTCACAATATCTGGCCACAATATACAGCAACATTAAATTAAATTAATTATTTAAACAACTTATAATTTGAAAAAAAAATTTTGTCATATATTTTGTCAAAGGAATAAAGATATATTTTTAAATAGCATCTCTAAAATCTTAGAGAATAAGAGATCGTAAGATTAGAGATCGTAATAATCTGTTAATGATCATAATGATCATGTATTGATAAAATAATAATCATTTTATCAATACATGTCTAAAATAGAATCCAAGAAGATAAAAATTAGAAAAGCGAATTATTTAAAAACAAATTTTTAATATTTTTATAATCCAAAAATAAAAAAACAAAAATTCAAGCCAATAGATAATTTCTATATTGTTTTATATATTTTTCCATTTATGAAATCTAAAAGTAAAAAGAGCAATTATGTTTATTTTTTAAAAATCAAACGAGGTTTCTTTCTTGCACAAGTAAATTTGATTAATGAAATCCAAAACAATTCACTATTTAATAATTTTAATGTGGCTCTTATAGAGCTGCATGGTATTTGAATTTATAAGTTTAAATTTAAAAGTTTAAATTTAAACTTGATTCTAATGTAAATTTAAAAGTTATAACTTAATAATTTAAATTTCGTTTGAAAAAATCTTCTGTAATAATAGGATATCGGACATCAAAAGAGCGTTTCAGTAGGGTCAGATACTGATGTCTCAGTAGGGTCAGATATTTGACAGTCACATTTAAGTTGCGTTTTAGTTGTATGATTGAATGACCAATATAGGACATCAAGCGGACGTCCTCCTGATGTTTTGTGTTTGCTGGGTAATGTAAACACTTAAAACAAAATTTTAACAAATCAAATATAACAAGTCAAAAGTCAAATACAATTTTATTGTCTCAATACTGACACAAAGTAAAAATTAAAACAATTAATTGATGCAATGCGGAAGTAAGTTTTTTTTTTATCAACCTATTTTCAAATGGAATTTTCTCCAAAGCTTCACTTCTGGCTAGGCTAATTAGATTTCGTTGTCGTAATTTACTCATTCGGCAATCATAAAAAAAGCCATATTTAATGAAGTCCAGTGAAAATAGCATAGTTGTACAACGATATCATTCAGAACAAAATAAGAAATTTTTAAATTGAGAAGTGACATTGTCACTGAACATGTTTACTTCTTTGATTAGGGATAAAAGGATTTTGTTGATGTACAGTATATCTGAAAACTTTGTATGATCAGTTAAATCAGAAACCATAGCAAAAGTTTTTCACCCAATGTCCCAAACTGCAATGTTCATGATTAAAATTTAGTTTTGACCAAAATGTGTTGCTTATGGTTTATTTTATCTTTTTCAGCCTATTCATTTTGGGTTACTGCAGTTTTAGAATCAATAATCATTGAAACTACAATTTTTTCAAAATTAATGATTGGTTTTTTCTTTACAAATGCATATTTAATGAATTTATCAAGCATTGCTGTTATGTCCTGAATAAGTTCTATTAAAGTAGACTTCTTTAGAATCTTTTTCATGGTTGCGTATGTTTAAGTTTCTGTTTTTTTTTTCACTTGTCCCAGGACACATTGAAGTCAAGTGTATCAACAGTTTGCAAATAGTTTTTAAAATATTTTATACCTTTGCATGCAAATATTTGTCCTAGGTGCAATTATATATGTATGGTTCACAAACGATATCTTTTATTATTTCAATTGCAACCTTAATTAAATATGCTTAAATCAATTTTTTTTTTAATGCTAAAATCACATATTTTCATACAAACTATTGCATGAAATTATGTGATTCATGCAAAAGTTTGCATGAAGCACAAACATTATGCAGAAATTTTCTAACAGATTTAGTATTAAGTGTACACAGATTGCAGAATTTGCTGAGTCTAATTTTAATGTGCTGATGCTTTTCTTTGAATAGTTGAAAAGCTTCTTTTAGTTTTAAATAAATGATACATTGTAATATTGTTTGTTTTTCTGTTAGGCAATTGAATCAAAGTGAAACTTTTTTTGTTGGGTTTTGACACTTTGAAAACTTTGGTTTACTAGTTTGATTTGAAATTTCTATACACAAAGTTTCAATTTGTTTGTTTGCTTTACAGAAAGTCTATTATGCTTTAAATACAAACTTGTCAAGAATATACGTTGCAAGGCTGCCTCCCTTGCTTCTAACATGTGGTTTACTTCATATTTTATATGATGATAAATTGTACAAAGAATTTTCTGATTAAGTCAGTTTTGCGTCTTCTCAAGTTTCTGAGATACATATAGTATCAAAAAGGTTATAAAGTAATAAAAATGTCTAAAAGCTTCAAAGTTTTTTATTGATTGGTCTCATGTTATAAGTTTTTAATCATTGATCTTATGGTATGAAATAATTGTCTTAAATAATCAATTAGTTCTTCCTACATGTAAGAAATGTTTAGGAAGACTCTTTTTATTTGCGCATTTATTTATATGGTTATATATTTATGTCTATTAATTAGTTTTTGATTTTAAAAAAGAACTTGTTAAGGAGATTTTTTTTGAATTATGGTAGATCAGCTCCAAGAACTTAAAAAATGTTTTTTATAATATTTTTTATACTTTTGACTTTAATTTTAAACAAAAAGTTTTAAAAAATAATGCAGCGTATTGTTATACAGTAAGAAATTTCAATATAGAGCGACGTGGAACTACAGTTAAAAGAGAAGCTCCAACTAACAGAGGTATTGCACAGCCTGTAAACTGTAAGTTGTATTTTAATATATTTTTTTGTTGCTTTTATGTGTATATACTAGCTGTCTTGACCCAAAATGTTAAGTCTGTTCCACACTGATCATCTCTTATTTTTTATAATAATATTTAGTAAATACTATTCCTTGGCTTTGAGTTGATGATTAACATTTAGTACTTTATAAACTCTAGTTGTCAATATATAATAATTAACCAGGGTTGAACATCTATTAATACTTATTTTCTGATCCACCTCAACTGTTTATCATTTTTTCAAAGAATGTAAAATAGTTTAGTACAATTTTACTTTAAGAAAGATTGATTGAATTCATAGATTATGCTTTTATGTTTTAAAAAAAAGAATTTTAATTAAAAAATAATAACTTTTGTATAGGTATTAAGAAAATAATTTTGGCCACCATTTTGTATGTAATCGTCCTACTTTGCAATGTTCTAAACTTTATTTGCATGAAATGAAAATTACTTTTTATTTTATTCAATTTAACTGAACACTCTCAACTTTTTTTTATTTTAAGTGCTATATATATATATATATATATATATATATATATATATATATATATATATATATATATATATATATATATATATATATATATATATATATATATATATATATATATATATATATATATATATATATATATATATATGAAATTAAGATATGCCAAACATCTTAAATCTTTCAATGCACCCAAATATAATAATATAAATAAAGAAATATGGAAGCTAAAATCTAAAAATATAAAACCTGTGATTACATGGAAGATAATAGCATGATGTAAGCCAAAATCAAGCATCAAAAGTTTGTATTCTTTGTCTCCACAAGAAATTTCATATATTATCATACAAAGGAGAAAATTTACTTAGTAAAAGTTATGAAATAATATCAAAGTGCCTGCATTCAAAGAAATCTTTACTATCCTTATTCAACACCGGGGACTAAAACCTTTGATGTCGTTTTGTTTTGTTTTTGTAACGTCAGAAGTCATTCCTCCGTAATTTTAATTTGTAATTTTCAAACAGTTTTTAAGTGACAAAATACACAACAGCTGATGATTGCTAAAAGGCATGAAACTCAGAGTTCCATCAAAAGTTGTTTTTATTCATTTTAAACAAATAAATATTGTTCTATTATTTAATAGTATTGAGTACTCTTAAACGTACAAGAGTATTTGTATTATTATTATTACACCATAATAATATATATATTATATATATATATATATATATATATATATATATATATATATATATATATATATTTCACAACTTTAAATTTCATGCTATTGCAATAATCAGGTGAAATACAAACATATTTTTTTGTTAAAATAGTTAAATGCAAATAGAAAAATAGTTATGTAAAACTAGTTGTTATACATAAAAAGGTAGAAACATAAAAACTATTGTTACAAACTATTGTTACAATAGAAATTTATTTTTGTGACGGCATTTGAAAATCAATTTTTTTATTCAGTACTTTTTTGGCATTTTTATAAAGTAAAATTATTAGTTTTTCATATAAAAAAGTAAACATTTTTTTGTTGTGTAGTTGAAAGCAGGGGCTCTTTTTAGGATAGACCAAGTTAATTCAAGTGTTTCTTTGAGTTTTTCCTTAGTTTCCCACATATTTTGAGAGTGTGGTTGCATTTGAAAGTTTTGGATTTTTAATGATTGCTTATGATTTGCATATCTCTTTTTCCACAGGCTCTCTGATAAATCAATGTATGCTTTGCTGGGTGTGTTTAGAGAAGATTTTATGCATTTGTGAATTATATTTGTCGTTCTGCAATATTTATTTAACTGGCAGTTTTCTTTTGGGTTTCAATTACAAGGGAAATTTTCAGGCGTGCTTTTTAAATTTTGTTGCGATTTTTTAATAGTTTTTGAAATGTTGTTTGATCTATAGCTGACTTTAGTGGTGTTTTGATTATAAATGATTTTGATTAAATAGACTATGCTATAAACTATTTAATCGAAATCAGGTTTGAAGGTGGAAAATGCTTATCTATTATTTGCAAAATGATTTGGCCAACATTGGTAGAGATGATTTTTATATAAGGCAGATTAAACCAAATTTTATTCCTTTTTCTTTTAGGGGTGTCTTGTTATTTGGGTTTTACTTTAAATAATAATTTTTAAAACCGTTTTGTTTAAGTGCTTCTTTGTATTCTGTTTTTGGTGAGTTAAATATTTTTTTATCTAAAGAATTTTATGATAGTAGATCATTAATTGAGAGAGGGATCTGCTTAAGAACTTGAGGTGGGTGGTTTGATTCAGTGTGAATGTAGAGTAGTTGATCATTTTTCAAAGATTGAAAGTTACATCAAGAAAATTAATGCTGTTTAAATTGGTTTGAATTTCTATTTGTAATCCGATGTTTTTAAGTCTCTCAATATTTTTTCTGAATTTGTCTAACTGTGCTACAGTTTTTGCAGTTCTCTTAATCAATCCATTCTTTTGGTAAAGGTCTATACTATTTTTAATAATTGTTCTAGATAGAGTGTCTAGAATGTATAAACCCACTAGTTTACACATTTCTCCATTAAAACATGCCATTTGATGTTAAATCAAATGTTATACACCTTTTTTTCCATGTTTCATAATTGAATAATTATGATTTTCTGCAATGATTTATGACCATAATATTTATACTGCTGATTTTAGTGTGTTGTTTTGCAAATATTAAAGCATTCTTTAGTATGTATTTTGTGATGGATGGGTAAAATTCATTTATGTTGAGTTAATACATTGATTTTGAATAAATACACAGTGTTGCGTGTCTCTTATGCTTGCAAACCATTTGATTTTTTATGCAATGTTTTTCCATTGGTTTAGTTTTAATTTGTTTTTTATATCCTTGTTGATTTTATCTAGGTTTGTTTTGCTGACATCGCTGAGTTCCCTTTTTTCCAGATTTAATAGGCAGCAAGGTTTTTGATTATCAAAATTGTTTGTGTGGTCTTTTAATGCAATGAATGCTTTTGACTTTTTGTGATTTGTTTGTTTATATTTAGTTTAGTTGCTATGCTTTTTTCCTTGAGGTTGATTGAACTTTCTAGTTTTTTAGGTTTTTTTTTTGTATGTTTTTGTGATGTTTTATTCTAGTAGTTTAGAGTAATCTGCAGGGGGTAATATGTAAATGTTGTTGGTTTTATCGGCAAGTATTAGGATATTTGGGATAGGTTTAATCTTTGATACATTGTTCTTTAGTTTTTTTGAAATTGGCTTCTTGAAACTTTATTAGTTCTGTCTTGAAGTTTTTTTTGCATCATGTCTTTTTTGTTTTTAAGCCAACATTTTCTCATGTGCTTGTTTTGGTTTTATTCATGTGGAAATATGTTTTTCAGTGTATTCTTTTTTTAAAGCTTTCTATTTTTTCATTTAGTTTTGTTTTGTAGGTAGTTAAATTTTGTATTGGAATATTTTTCAACAAGTAGTTAAGATAAAATTTTTCAATTTTTTGAAGTCTATATAGAAAATCGCTCAATAACATTTGTCAGGAGCGTATTATGTATGTTAATATATATCAGGGCTCGAATTAAGTGATCGCAAGTTAAGATATATGCAAATGTGATCTGGTCCTTAAATTTTTCGCTTTTTGAAAACTGTAACTCAATAGCTTTTACTCAAAAAAAAAAAATAAATTTGATTTTGAATTATGATAAAAAATCTCATTACAAAACCATATTATTACTATTATTTTTATAATTATTAAAAATTATGGTTTAAACTTTAATATTTTAACTTATTTTATAAATTCTCAAATAAAACTAGAAAAATAAAATATGCTAAAGTATGGTGTAATTTAAAAACAACCACTAATCACATCAATATAAAGAAATTTACTGTGATGATATATTTTAAATAAAAGAAATTGCAAAATAAGATATAAAATACTTGTATATTTTATTTAAATCTTATTTAATATTTTCTTTTAAATTAAATGTTTGCAATTCTTTTTAAAAATAAAAAAATAAAAAATAAAAAAGAGTTAAAAAATATATAAAAAATAATTCAAACTTTTTATAATTATTTTAAATCAAAACAAAAAAACATTTTTAAATATATCTTTATTATTAGTATTTTTATTATCAATTAAATAATTTCTAATTTAAAACATTAGAAATTATTTAATTTAATTGACACAATATTAAATGCATGGTCATATGGTTATATGACCATGCATTTAATATTTTGTTTTGACAACTTGGCCATGGCTTTTCAAGTTTTGCTAATCTGAGCATTTAAAAAATGCGCTGAATAAACAAAATATAAACTTAAACTAAAATTAAAAATAAACAAATCATAAACTGAAATAATCTGAAAAAAAACAAAACAAAAACTAAAAAAATTGTTAACAAATAATAAAATAAATAAAAGATAAAACAGAAAACATAAAAGGATAAATATGTCTTTATTTTATTTAAAAGTGTTTCATTTTATAGAATTTAAAAAAGATCAAAGTTTCAAAATTTAATTATTAGATCAAAGTTAATTAATTTAAAGAAAAATTATCCGTTAAAATTTTTTTAAAGAAAAAGTTATTAACTTTAAACTATTGAGACGTTTTTAAATTAAATTAATTATTAGGTTTGGACTAGTTATGCTTTTATTTTTTTTGGTTTATTCTTTATTTTATCACTGGTTAACTTTGTTTCTTTTTTCAGTTTATGGTTGGTTTATTTTTAATTTTCTCTTTAAATTAGTTTAGTTTTTTTAGAGCATTTTTTTAGAGCATTTTTATAATGCGCAAATTATCAAAATATGCAAAGTAACATGGTCATGTTGTAAAGAAAAGATATTGTATGCATAGTCATTTAAGGCATGCAGTTGCATGCCTCTCCTGACAAGGCTTGATGTATGTGTTTGTGTGTGTGTGTGTTTATATATGCATAGGTGTTACATATTTTATGTTTGCTTTATATTCCAATAGTTTTTTATTTTTGTATAGTTATGGAATTTATAATTTAAGCTGCCATTTCAGCAAACAATTCTTACTGTTTATGATGGTGTTATGGTTTGAGTATAACTAAATTCTTTTCTCAGATAACACACAGAGTGTAGTTGCTACATCCGTAGCACCAACAATAAGTCCTTCACCATCCTCAAATGATTTGAAAAAGAAAGAGAAACCTGGTAAGAAAAAAGTAAAACTATCAAAAGAAGATATTGGTACCCCATCCGACTTTAGGTAATTATCTTTTTAAAAATGATATTCTTAAGCATTTAATCTTACATAATCATGATGCATAAGGTATACTACACTGTATACTACAAAAGATAGCCCAGAAATACCTTGTAAACCTTAATATACTTTTTTATGAGTTTGAATCTCAATATGATTTGATATCAAATCTTTTATGAGTATTATTAAAATTTTAATTTTTTTTTTTTTCACTTCAGCTACTATAATCTGTTTAAACCTTTGTTAAAAGCAGATATTTTATCAATTTAGATTAGCATTAGCATTGAAAATGCACTATAGATTACTATGTTATTCTTTTTGAAAATGCACTATAGATTACTGTTATTCTTTTTGAAAAGGCACTATAGATTACTATGTTATTCTTTTTGAAAATGCACTATAGATTACTATGTTATTCTTTTTGAAAATGCACTATAGATTACTGTTTTTCTTTTTGAACTATACATTACTATGTTATTCTTATTCAAAAAAAAAAACATGTTTAATATGCTGTAAAATGTTATTACTTTTTTGTTGTTGTAAAAAATGATTATTTTTCTAAAGGTATTAAGCAGGTGTGCAAAAAGACTTTATATTAGGGATTTGTTAACTTCAAGGTGTAAAACAGCGTCAAAGTACATACAGTGTAGAATAACTTCAAGGTGCATACAGTGTAAACTAACTTCAAAGTACATGCAATGTAAAATAACTTCATAGTACATACAGTGTTAAATAACTTTTAATTTTAATTTCACTTTAACTCAATTAAATCAATAAAGGTTATTCACAATTTTTATTTCAGTCTTTATGATTTTTAATGTAACAGTTATAAAAATTATTGCAATCAAATTTTAGCTGCAATTAATTTTATTGCAATCAATTTGAACTAAATATAGCTGCTAAAAAATGTCATTTAAAATCATTATGATTTAGTTAAATAATTAAATCTTTTGTTTTTACATTACTTTTATTTATTTTTTAATTGTAACTTATAAATTGTAAAATTACAAAGAAATAGTTTACACAGTATGTTCAAATATATAGTATTATCAAAAAACAGCATTCAAATCAAAAACTTGTTCATGTGCATAAAGAGCTCCAATTAAGTCAGATGTAAAGTTACTATGATAGTCTGTAGTTAAGTGTTTTAATTTGGAAACAGTTGCTCAATACTTAAATAAGTTATTATTGATTCTTACTGAAATTATATACTTTTGGAAACTATATTTCATTTCTACTGATGCATATACCATTAATTGTCTATATGCAATATGTCCTTAGTCATTTTTTCAGAATAAAAATTTGGTTCCTATACAGAATAGACCAAAATTTGTCATTCAAATATATTCTATATAGCATAATTTGTCATTCAAATATATTCTATAGAGCATAATTTGTCATTCAAATATATGCTATTTAAAGTATTTATGCTGTAGATTGAACAAATTTTGAATTCTACATATACCACAGAATTTTTAGCACATCACATATAGAATATAGATTGGTGTTTTTGTTGCATAGTTTGCTTTTAATAACTGAAAAGGCATAACATAAGAAAAGGTTTTCCTAAAAGATTTAATGAATTAAGAAGTTTCCTATGTGGATAGACTTTATCATATAAAAAATTATCTAACTGTAAATGGTGACAATCAGAATGTTACTAGACTAACCTCCTCAATTATTATAATCAAAACCAATAATGAAAAAAGTTAAATAAAAATAAAAAAAGTTGAACTCCATTTGTAGAATTAATTTCTACATCAGAAAATGTTTATAAGCAGGTTTAATAATTTAAAGAAAATTTCAAACCACAGGAGTCCCAGCCCTAGACCCTAAAATCTCTGTAAACTTCCATTACTTTGCATCCCTGGCTATAATAATGTTTTTAAATAATAATGTTTTTGTACTTTTAAAGTTTAAGCAACATTTATGTTTAGACATGTTGGGCATGTCGGTTGGGACCCTAAAGGAGGTTTTGATGTATGTTTTAATTTTTTTTTTGTAATATTTTTGAAAATGATTGGATATTTTTATGATCTGTTCATTTCATTATTAAAATTGCATTTATTCAAAGTATGTTATTAATTTAGATTAATAATATTGACCCACAATGGAGGAAATTATTTGATACAATTGGTGTAACTGAGAAGCAGCTTGAAGATGAGGAAACATCTAAGTTTATTTATGAATTTGTGGAGTCTCATGGGGGTATTGAAAAAGCTACTAAAGAACTTGAGAAGTCTGGAAATGCTGATGGTAACTTTTATTTATGAGTAATTCAAAATCTTTTTTTAAATTAAAAAAAAAAAAAGCTATATTTTTTAAAAAAATATAGCAAAATAGATATATTTATTATTTAAAATATATTATTATCATTATAACAAACAAATTAAAATAGTTTTAAAGAAATTTAAATGAAATCTTAGGCATTGAGTTTTATTGATTTTTCTTCGAGGTCAAACATAATGGACTCCAATTCCAGACTCTATTTAATTAAATAGCAACTATAATGGTCTGGGGTCATGTGCAGAAAACAGTTGCTTAATACTGACTTAAGATATGAGCAACGATTAAATGACAACACCTGTAAATTGTCAACAAAGCCTTCAATTGTTTTTAATGGATTAATTTTTCATAATATGCGTAAGTTATTTATATAAAAATATGCTTTACATATTTTACAAGCTGTGGTGCATTTATGGCATACAAAACATTTCAATATGGATGGCTAAAGAGTGCTACTTTTGATGGCATTTTTGCAGCTTATTTTCATATTTTTTTCAAATATTTTTTTTCTTCCTATTGTTATGAGAAGTTCAGTGTGTTTTCTAGACAAGTGTTGTTTAAGGTTTCTTACATAAGCTTTTGTAGCACATGCAATTTCATTACCGCATAACTCATTACTTTTATTCTTGTTAGGTACAATAGATTAAAAACTATATTACTTTATATTCATTCACAATTCTATTCATACAATGAAAATATCTGTAGATTGTGTCTGATGCATGGCTAGTGGCCATTACTGGTCAAAAGTGTCAAAAATGAGTAAATGGCAATTATTAATATAGAGCTAGACAGTTATCAATGCAAGTTTTGTAGACATTAGTGCTTTTTTATATATGAATAATGTTTGAAACTGTGTTTTAAATATTAAATGAGTTACAGTAAGTAATAAACTCATTACTAACTGAACATTAAATTTAAAAAATTGAATTAAATTTTATGAAGCTCAATTTAAAAACAATGGAATGTATGAAAAGTATATATATATATATATATATATATATATATATATATATATATATATATATATATATATATATATATATATATATATATATATATATATATATATAAATATATATATATATATATATATATATATATATATATATATATATATATATATATATATATATATATATATATATATATATATATATATATATATATATATATACATATATATATATATATATATATTTAAGAGGTATGACTAAAAAGAACATTTCATTTTCTTGAAAATGGCATAGTAACAAAAAAAGGTATCAATGTAAAATATCAATACTTTTTTTCAAATCAAAAAAAAAAATCCTCACCGGCAGAAATGAAAATTTGGTCCAGTCACAAAAAGTTCAAGTTTTTCAATTTATGGCAGGGGCACCTACAAATATTTTAAAACACTATTAGAATTATTTTTGTTTCTTGATCTATTTGATTTTAGATTGTTTTATTTTTTAGTAAAGATGATGGAAATGGTTTGTCCATTTAATAATAATTTTTGGGAGGTTAGGGGAGGAGTCAAAAAAATTTTTTTGAATTTTTTTTTTTTTTTGTGTTTATATAAGTAACAATCATAATAATTAATAATCAATAATAAATGTTAACAATCAGTTATTGCAAGTTTTTTAAAGTTTTTCATGTTGAAAATATAATTAAATTAATTAAGCACATAGCAGTATATAACCCATAACACAATTGGATATTAAGAAAGCTTTATTAATATATTATTATTACTACAGATTATGTTATAAGTTATTTTCCAAACATTTCTTCAATAAGTATAGCTGCATGTCTACTTTGTGATTTTTTTGCTGTTCAATGTATTGAAATCGAAGATTGAAAATACTGACCACCATATCAGATGTTTACTATATCATAGTAAAGTGCTTATAAATTTACAATTCAGTTAAATTTAAATTGACTTTATAATATACGGATTTATTTTCATGATTAAAATTTTTTATGTTTCATGATTATTTTGATTAAAATTTTTTAAGTTTTTTATCTTTAATGAGTTTTTCTGCTTTTGATTTACCATTAGAAACAAGAATGTTGACTTAAAAAGTAATAGAAAGAATTTAAATAAACACAAAAACCATGTGAGAATGTGGAGATATTATCTTGAAAGATAAAAAAAACTTTGAAAAAAAATAATGAACAAGATTTAAATTTTCTCAATGATTAGAAATAATTACATGTTCAAAAAATATTGTGCAAAATAAATTTTGCAAAACAAAAAAGACAATTAAGTGAAAAGTTTAAATATTGAAAGAGCCCATTAGGAAACAAAAAAGTTTGATAAGTGAAAAACTTGAGAAGATAATAAAATGTTTAAATACTTTTGATAATGAAGATTACATTATATAGAATGGGTAAAAACCAGTTTATCAAACTGGGACTTATTTTTAGATTAAAAACAGTAAAGTAAATTTACATAATCTAAAATCAGTTAGATCAAGCTACAAAAACAACTCTCATGATATTTTATGAAATATTTGTAAGTGACTCTACTATAAATGCAAAATTTCAAATTTTTTGTATTTTTTGAATGCTGGAACAAAATTTTTATTTGCCCTGGTGGGGGAGTTTTTTTTTGGGTTTGGAAAAAAGTATTAATATTTTATATTCATTTTGCCTATTCATCATCTATGCCATTTCCAAAAAAATTTCTAAACAAAGTTTCATCTATATTTTTTATAATAAAGCAGGGATTATCTTTTTCCGGATATTTCCTGAATTCCAGATATTTTTCTCAATTTTTAGTTTTTCCGGATATCCAAAATGTTTTTCATACATACAAGTTTAAGTATATATTTTTTGTGATATATTTGTTTTTTAAGCTTTTTTACTGATTATTCATACAAAAATTAAGAAAAGTTAAAAAAAAAATTGAAAATAACTCAAATAAAAGCAAAATTAGGAGGAATATATGGGAAAATATATTCCGGATTTTTTTCCGGATATTTTACCCTAATAATTTTACGGATTTTTAAAGTATGACCTGGATGGAATAAAGTAAAAAAAGATTTATAGATATAACTTTATACAACTATTTTCAGTAAAATTTATTTTACTAAACGTTTACTAATAATTAAGGTCAAAGTAAGCTGTAAAGAACTATTATCTTTTTAAAAATTTTTTCTGTATATTTTGAATACATTAAAAAAAAATTTTGTTTTGAATACGTTTTCAAATATTAGTTTAAAGTTTATAAACTAAGGCTAAATTTAGGTGCACCTCCTCCTCCAGCTAGGTCTGCTCCTCCTCCACCACCACCATCACGGGGCGTACCTCCACGTGGTCAAGCACCACCTATACCTCAATCTATAGAAAGAGAAACAACTGTTAAAGGTCCACCAGCTCGTAGTGCACCACCACCACCACCACCCGCTTCCTCAAGAACAGGTCCACCACCACCTCCTCAACAGGTATCAAGAGGTCCTCCACCTCCTCCTCAAATGTCTGCTCCGCCCCCTCCTCCACCTCTAAATACTCCTGCACCTCCTCCTCCACCTCCTGTTCCAGTTGCAGGTGCACCACCCCCACCACCGCCTCCTGGAGTTTTGAAGCCGACTTCTGCAGGACCACCAAAAGGAGGTTTGTTAGATCAAATTCATCAAGGAAGACAGTTAAATAAAGTAGAGCCACAACAAAAAGAAGCGGGAGATGGAAGAGATGATCTTCTTAATGCAATTCGCCTGGGTGCCAAACTCAAAACTGTATGAATCTTTATTGTCAGACTTGTTAATTTTTTTTATTATCATTATTTTTTAATTTTAAATTAATATATTTTTTACAATTATTTTAAGAATAATCAAAAAAATGAAAATATTTGAAAAGTTTATTAACTGTTTTTTGTGTGTGTGTGTGTGTGTAGGTTTCGCAATCAGATCGTACAAGTGTAGCAGACGATGATCAACTTGAAGGAATGGCCGGTGCACTTGCAAAAGCATTAGCCATGCGCTCTGCTCACATTCAAGTTTCCGGTAAAATACTGTTTTAGTTAATTACTATTATAAATACTATTTATTTGTTAATAAAATTTGTTGTAAAAATCTAAAACACATAATAAATTGTCAATAAACTTTATCTAAAATAAATATTAGATAATGATGATGACGATGAGGACGAAGATGATTTCGATGACGATGATTGGTCTGAATAGAGAATATGTTAAATATATTAAAAATCTTCACGTTCTTCAGATGATACCGAAAGTTTACAGGTTTTCATTCTTGAAATAAACTTTTCACGTTTTGCAAATTTTGTTTAGGTGTAAATTTTTTAAATTAATTAAAAAGATATTGTGCAATATACATCTCTGCGAGAGGATTTTTATTTAGTTCTATGTTGCTTTGTTTAAATTCAATATTTTTATAACTTTTTGTAATAATTTTTTTGTAAAAAAAATAATTTTATCAATAAATATTAGCTGTTGCTACAGTATTTGATAAAGCATTTTTTTTTTTCACTTGAAAAGTGTTGAATAATTAGGTGGTGTACGAAGTGGTATGATAGATAACACTGTAAAAGATAACACGGGTGAGTTTTCGTGCTTAAGCGCTCCTCCGTGCCGCATGGCGGAATATTTGTAATTATAATTTTTTGTTTAGTTGTAAAAGAGAGTTCGTGTCGGATAGACGCTTTATATAGTTGTTTTATAGAGTTGTTATTTCGTCTTATCCCTTTCTTAAAAACAAATATAGAAGAGGTTTTAAATTGGCGCCCTATGTAAAAAAAGAGTATTTTAACGAAATACCAAGATTTTGCAAAAAGAAACGAAGAAAAATTTAAAGATATACATTTGATTGACATTACATAAACATATGACAGACTTAAATAAGAAATTATCCCGAAGGACAGGTTTACAAAGCGATATAAAAGAAATAAATGAAGAAGTTGAAAATAACTTGTATATATAAATAATAGTGACAGTAATTTTAATGCACTTAGAGGTTTAAAAAATTCATTGAGCAACACGTTACTAGAGCTAATAGAAGTTGAAGAAGAAATAATTAATTTAAAGGAATCGGATGACATTGCTGAATTCGTCTAAGAGATTCATATGTCATTTAAATCAACTTCTTGCACAAATCGACTACAAATTAAACTCTCGAAAACTTTCACCTAATTCTCAATCTGGTTATTCACAAAGCACTACATCCGATTGTAAATTACAGAGGCGGATCCAGCATTTTTTGGTCGTTGAGATAGCTATCTTCCAGACATGGAGCAAACTCCAAACATTTATATGTTTATACCTATGTCAAATAAGGGTGCTTTGCAAAAAATTGCAATGATTGGAGCCTGGGAACAAAAAGGCCCTAAAATTTTAGCTACACCTGCCCCAAACGTGAGAGCAACAAGTTAATAAAATATTTTTTCTACTATTTTTAACCAAGTATATATTCATCGATAAATTTTAAAACTCACACAACAATCCATTAGCGTTCAACAGTTATGGCCTTATAAAATTTGCAACCCCCTCAAATTGAAGGGAGTTAAAAATTTTTATTGCCATTTTTTATTGTTTTTGAACGCTAAAAGATTTTTGTGTGAATTTTAAAGTTTGTTGATGAATATAGATATAGTTAAGAATAGTATAAAAATTATTTTATCAACTTGTTGCTCTCACGTTTGGGGCAGGTGTAGCTAAGATTTTAGGGCTTTTTGTTCCCAGGCTCTAATCATTGCAATTTTTTGTAAAGCATAATTATTTGATATAAGTATAAACATGTAAATTTTTGGAGTTTGTTCTATGTCTGGAAGTTAGGTATCTCAAACATGAAAAAATGCTGCATCCCCCCCCCCCCCTGAATTACCTAAACTAGAAATACAGTCTTTTGACGGAAGCCCTCTTAAGTGGTACTCTTTTTGGGACCAATGCAATGCAACAATTAATCAAAACGATTCCCTGAGTGAAATAGATGAGTTTTTATATTTAAAAAAATATTTACAACATGGTAGACCCTAAAGTACAAATAATTGCGCATATGGAAACCTTGTTGAAAGTACGGCCTGTGACGTCAATGGATAATCTTGAACAACTGAGAAAGCTTTATAATGAGATTGAGATCTGTATCAAAAATCTTAATTCATTAAAAATAGATATTAGCTCATATGATTTTCTATTTATATCTATTCTAAATGAAAGAATACCTGAGCAGTTAAAAATTTTTATATCAAGAAAATTTGGTAATAATATTTGGTCATTACAAAAATTGTTAGAATTTTTTAATGAAGAACTTTTAGTTAAAGAAAGATGTCAAAGTCTTAATGGAAACATTCAATTTACGACACAAAATTTACATACACAAGGCGGTCAAAAGTTTAATAAGTGTTTGTATTGTCAAGGTAATCTCTCTTCGACTAAATGCAGCGTAGTCACCAATATTGAAGCTCGTGTAGCTACATTAAGGAAATTAGCAAGATGTTTTGTTTGTCTGCGAAATGGTCATACAAGTAGAAATTGCAGTAACAATTTTGTATGTAATAAATGTGGAAAACGTCATCATGTTTCAATTTGTAATAAGGACAGAGATCCTAATAAATATAAAATTACAAAGAATCAAGAAGCAAAAGAAACTAATGCAACTCATACTTGGTCAAATAATAGTAATACTGTACTTCTCCAAACTGCCACAACCCGAGTTTCAGACTGTCAAAATTTTCTTTCAAAAAAAGTTTGTTTAATATTCGATAGTGTAAGTCAGTTTTCTTACATAACTGAATAGTTAAGAAATACTTTAAAACTGAAAACCTTGCGAAAAGAGAAGCTCATTATAAATACATTTGGAAACTTAATTGGTCAAGTAAAAGTTTTAGATGTTATACAACTTCGAGTAAAACACAAAATTAACAAAGGATGGACTTATCTAGAAGCGTTGTGCATCCCAGAGATTTGTACACCCTTAAAAATGCAAAATATTTCAGAAGCAGTGAATAATTACAAACATTTAAAACATTTATTATTAGCAGACAATAATTTTAATACCACAATTAAGATTGATATTTTAGTTGGAATTGACTTTTACTATTCCTTTGTGACTGGAGAAATGATTCGTGGGTCTGATGGTCCTGTAACCATTTATTCATCACTAGGTTGGATCTGGCAGGACAAAGCAAATTATCTATTCCAGTTGACTCTAATAAACGTTACAGAAGTCATTCTATGAAGTGTAGTGTCTTTCCTTTACGTAACAATGTTGATAGTGATTTAAAGGAACAATTAAAAAAATTTTGGGAACTTGAGGAAATAGAAGAATTAAAAGATAGTGTAATGCATTAGTTTGAAAAAGATATAAAATTTAATTACAAAAAATATGTCACGAAACTACTTTTTAGACCTGATCACATGATGTTGTCTGATAATTTCAATGTTGGTAAGAAGCATTTAAAATATTTATATATAAAATTAAAATCTGATAAAAAGCTATTAAAATACTATAGTAATATATTCGCACAATAAGAGAAAGATGGTATAATAGAGAGAGTTACACGTGATGAAATTACCAAACCACCTGGATCAGTTTGTTATCTACTACACCATCCAGTTATTAGAGAAAAAAAGGAAACAACAAAAGTGCGTGCTGTTTTTAATGCTTCATGTGTCAAAAATTCACCTTCGTTAAATGATATCTTATATCCTGGCCCAAATTTGTTATCAAAGATATTTAATATTCTTATTCGTTTCCGTGTAAACGTTATTGACATCACGTCGGAAATAAAACAAGCCTTTTTGAATATCGCTATTGTGCCTTAACATATAATCTTTCTACGTTTGCTTTGGTTCAGCAATTTAAGTCGTGATGATCAATTAATTATTTATAGATTTACTCACGCAGTGTTTCGTCTTACTCCAAGTCCATTTATTTTAAACGAAACAATGCAGCATCATCTCAATAAGTATTTGTCTTCTTACCCTGAATTTATTAAAAAGATTATACCTGATTGGTATGTGGATGACTTAGTTAGCGGATGTGATAGTTTAAATGATGGTGATAATTTTTTTCATACAGCTAAAGACATTATGTTAAAAGGAGGTTTAGAGCTTAGGAAATGGACAACAAATAATATAAAATTACAAAACCATATTAATAAATGCGAAAGAGTTAATCTTTATATTGACGATAAAGTTGATATAAACACTCAATTAAGTAATAAAACAGTATTGGAAGTCAATTGGGACATTGAAAATGATTATTTTGTATTTAAATTTCAATCTCTTTTTTGAAAAGAAAAGTTGTTACCCAGAACTGTATCAATTTACGATCTTCTTGGGCTAATATCACCGGTTACTACTCGTGTTAAAACTATATTTCAAATACTTTGTAAGTATAAACTGGAGTGGGATGAGGAAATTCCTAATAGCATTAGGCTTTTATGGGAGTCCTTTGTATTGCAGCATTCAAATATTCATTTTATCTGCTTTCTAAGATACGTTATAAAAGAAATAAAGGAAGATATTATTTCCATAGAGCTACATGTCTTTTCGGACAGTTCAATACAAGCATATGTTCTGCTATTTATATTCGTGTTATTTCAAGAACTTCAATAAAAACCTGCTTGTTAACCTCGAAAACTAAAGTTGCTCCACCTAAAACTTTGTAAGAAAAATTACTGGTCGAGATAGGATTGTGCGAGGAGCAGTGTTAGCAGTTATTTCTAAAGAAAAAAGGTGTACAAAAAATCAGGCCTTTACAGAAATTAATTCCGCTAGAAGTTAGTGGTGAAGCACAACAGGTTAACGCGTTAACACAAAATAAATTTAAAAATACTGAACAATTTAATAATAATCGTTCTAGGCGAAAAGCAGCAATTGTCGGCCAGGAAACTAAAAGGATCTTAGATCAAATTTATTGAAATGACGTTCTTATATTATTTATTATTTTGTTACTATATATTGTATTGTTGACTACGATGGTGTAGTCAACGGGGGAAGTGTTTAAAATCTGACACGGATGAGTTTTCGTGCTTAAGCGCTCCTCCGTGCCGCATTGCGGAATATTTGTAATTATAATTTTTTGTTTAGTTGTAAAAGAGAGTTCGTGTTGGATAGACGCATTTTATATAGTTATTTTATTGAGTTGTTATTTCGTCTTATCCCTTTCTTAAAAACAAATGTAGAAGAGTTTTTAAAAACACATTAAAATAATGTGTGAGGTGGTGCGATAAAACAAGCTAACGCACAATATCGCACAAAAACAAGCTAACGCAAAATGTTTAAGCAATTACACTACAGTATTAAGTTTATAAATATAATACTTTGTGTATATATATTTTAAAATTGAAGCATAATATAAGAATTTGATAAATTGACAACTTTTTTCAATCGTTTTTATAACACATAGAATTCAAAGTGTGTGAGTGTAACAATTGCTTGTATAAAAAAAAAAGGGGGGGGGGGACGCAACGCGAAATGTGGTTAGAGTAAAAAGCCAATTACGAAAATTTACTCATAAAATTGTCAATAACTAATTCCAATTAGACTTTGTGGTCTCAATTAGTTTAATCTACTTTTTAAATAAGGTAACTTTAAAATTTTTAAATGTCTTTTACTTTTAAATATCATTTTTTTTTTTTTACTTTATAAAAAGTATTCAGAAGCACTTTTTGTTAAAATTAAGTAATGCTCATAAACCTTTTATGTTTA